TTCTATAAGGATCCAGAAGCGGCGTTTGGCAGCGAAAGTGCAACCAGGGGAAGCTCGTTTTGGACCAGAATTAGATGGGGACAAGCGGTGGCGGCACTGTGTGCCCCTTTGTGGGATTCCGTTTGAGTCTTAAACTCTTACTCCAACATCCACAGCAAACGGGAGGCGATCGAACCATGTTCGGAAGCCTCCCCCTTCAGACAGGATCCAATGATTTCTCTTTGGGATGTGGAGCTTGCCGAGCCACTTGGTGATGCCGCTGCCGGATCAACTCCACAAGGAGGGGAAGAGGTGCCTGGCGTAATTCTTGTCGCCAGGGGTTACGCCTCTTGACGTCGGAGTGTGCTTCCCATGTACTCAGAGGATGCTGGAGGAGCAGAAGGACGGCTACTCGGGTAGCCGCCTTCGTTGATGAGGCTGGTGCATGGTAGTTCCTGGGCTTCGCCAGGGGAAGTTCGATCGTCATTGAGGGCGCCCTGGGACACTGCTGGCGCCGGGCGCTTCATCCCGGTCTTTTCCGTGTGCCTTGGTGTGATCGGCAGGGTGTCAGGGGCTACTGTACTTTGGCCGTAGTGGAGGGGCTGGGATGCCGCTTGCAGAGTCAAAGGCACACCGCGGCTAGCTTTCTCTTGCTCTGTGCTCCCCTCTACACTTGCGTCAATGTCAATGACGCTATCATCCTCAGCACTTTCTGCTTCCTCAGCTTCTTCCTCCTCTTGGATAACGGCGTCTTCTGCTAAGGCCGCATCCTCCAGAGCCTCACTAACCATCTGAGGCTCTTCGGGTTCGCCATCGTGAGTGGAGGGTGATGACTTGGGTGTCATCCGGTGAGGGCTCTGTATCTGCGGCAGGGGAACAATTGTCCGCATCTTCAGAGCTGCCTACTGAAACTGGTGAGGCATCATCATGATCCGTACTTACCGGCGAGGGGACTTCACTGGGGGAGGTATCGTTTCTGTCTGCCTCCGTGTCGGTCTCTGTCAGGCTGACCTCTGCCAGCACCTTGGCTGTTGGCAGGACCAGTGGCATGCACTGGCTCAGGCATGATTGGCGCAGCGAAAGCATTGCGGATTTGTAGCAGGTCTCCTATGAGGTCTGGGCGTACCTCATCTGGATATTGCCAAACACACACAACCCGCCTCCAGAGGGCTGTGCGGACATATCGGTTCACTTGTTTGTATGAGACGCACAGCCTTGCCATTGGCCACTCGCGGGGCAGGTCACTGTAGATTTGCATGGACGGCAATGCAATGCCTTTCCTGGCTGGGGTAGTGGCTTCCTGGGCTGCTACTTGGTAGCTATGCAGCCCTTGCATAGCCACTTGTTCCGCTGCCAGTTTTAGGTCAGTGGCTGCAGTTCCTCCTTGCTCCTTTTCTGCGTGGTCATTGTCTAAGTCAATCTCGGCAGTGACGATTTCTTGCTCCTGTGCTTCAAAGGGGTGATAGGATGGAGTGGCTGGGTCCCTACTGACTGGTGTCCCTTGCATGGGGTCTGCCATGTTTGCCAGATTCTTATATGTGAGAGGTCGTTGCGTATCTTCTGGTATGCTGCCCAGGGGCTGTGCCTGTCCTTGTCCTGCCGACTGCCTCCGTTAGCAGTTGCGCCCCAGACCCAACCACGCTGCCTAGCTCGCCAAGCCAAGCTGGCACGCCCCTCCTCCTCCCATGTCAGGCAAGGAGTAGATGCAATGGCGGAGGAAGAGGGCACTGCTCTTCCACCGTGTGGAGTAGATAACAATGCAACATTTCGGAGTCTCCGATTAAACGGCGGCCTGTAGCCAAACCGGGATCCTGGAGATTTCAATCCAAAAAGCTCCTACAATACTGTTCCCTTCCCCTGAGGCCATGGTAGCGTCTGTTGCCGCTGGTGAGGGTGGTGGAGGGTGTGGGTTCTCAGCAGCTTCCGTCTCCACGTCTGACACTGTATGGACTTCGTCACCATTCTGCTGTCGGGGCCAGTAACAGCCGTGGACTAAACGACCGGCCTCGGGCGGTAGGACAAGCTCCGACCCAGGCGTATCCAGTACCGGTTCTGGTCGCCAAGCATTATAAAAATAGATTCGGTGCACTGCCTCAAAGCTGTAGTCCTGTCCCTTTCTGCTCGGCTCTGCGCCTGACCGTGGTTGGTACCGTTTGGAGCATCCTACACTGCACCTTCGGCCAGAATCCGTGCTGTTGTGCAGCAGTCTCCATTGGCCTGACTGTTGTCCTTCTGGGACGACCAGCCATTCTGGTGTTTGAACTGCGTCCAGGGCGTAGCCAAACAGGAGCCCATGTTTTGCCGTATGGCCAGGGAGGTGGGGCCCGTCCTGCAGGCAAGAAGCTTCAGCTGTCAGAAGGTGTGACTTGGTTGCTAAGACAAGACGTAAGCGCCTCACCTTTCCCTCATGATATTCTGCCAAACAGACTGGGAGTGAGCCAAACCACAGGTCATGCGGCAAGAGCGCCACCTGGAAGGCTGCAGTGGCTTCACTAACTTGTACTGCCTCAAGGTTGAGGGAGCCACAGGCAGTCAGCTTGCGGGCATCATTCGTATGTACAGTTTGTACTCCATGTAGGAGGGCAGCAAGCACCTGCAGAGCACCTGGCATTCCTTGCATGTTGAGCGGGGAAGCAAGCATGGTGAGGTTCGTGGCACGGCTGTAAGCAACGTTCGCTCGTGTAAAACATTCCTGATCATAGTCAGCATTAAGCCCATTACCACTTAGGACGGTGTTGGAGCAGCTCCTTGGTCTTGAGCGCGTGGCGGAAGAGTATGCCAAGGTGGCCAAAGAGGAGATGTAATCATCAAGGATCGCGACAAGGACGAGGCGGTCCTGATGGATGTTAACAGAGTGAAAGGCAAGGAGAAAGGCAGCAAATGGAAAGGAAAGGACAAAGGCAGCAAAGGAAAAGGTAAGCAGAAGGGCAGAGGCCATGGGCGACACAGCAGGTACGACCACAAAGAAAAGGTGAAGCAGTAGAAAGGCAACGATGGAAAAGGAGAGGATGGTAAAAGAAAGGGCAACGGTCTCCCGCAAGATGTTTGACAAATTGAATGGAGGCAAGGGCCACTGGGGCCGTGAATGCTGTATGAGAACACCAAGTCAATAATCCACTTCCACGCTCAGACTTGGGGGAGAGACTGTGTGGGCCAGGTTTCAACTGCTGCACCCTCGACAGATCATGCAAAGACGGTGCTCTGTGTCCGCATCACAAGCACACCGGAGCAGTCAAGGAGGAGCTCGATAGTGAAAGAATGAAGGCAGAACTGAAGAAAAGACTCCAGGTGAGAGAAGAATGGTTGACAGCGAAGAGGATGTTCCAGAGAAGGCCGCGGCGACCAACGAGATTAGTCAGGCTAACCATGACTGCGCCACTCAAAAACGCAGCCTTGGGCCGGTGGAAGTTGAGTGCAAAGTTGAGGGGGCGCAGAGATGAGGGCCACGCAGAGAGGGGCCGAAAAAGCACAAGAACAAACTGCATCATGTTCAACAACTCCTGCATGATCCCCTG